TAATCAATATTTGATTGATTGGTCTGAGGTTATCGACAAAAAAGATTTGAGTTCTCGAATTTTTCAATTTAGGAATTTTCTTCGTGCACTGACTGCTTTATAGTTGATGCCTTTTTTGGTGAATTGATAGTGTTGTATATGATTTCCTACGTGCATATGTCTTCATGCCACTGTGATTGTGACTCATTACGATGATATTCACATCCATTTCTTGGCTACTTCACGAAATTATTCTCCACACACACACAGAAGAAATAAAAATGAGAGAATGAATATATAAACTATGATGTTAAATGTTCAAAAGAAAGTAAAAGATGAAGGTTGAGAAGATGAACTGAAATATGCCTTCGAAATCATGAAATAGATCTTATCCTTTAGAACTCAACAAATTAATATTTCGTTCATTTGAGTATAAATGGTTTAGTTGTGTGGACATTTATTCTGCCTCACGTTACTTGTGCATTGCAGGTGCTTGAAGGGCAGAAGATTCGGGTCAATAAAGCATAGAATTATCAGAAGAGATAGTGTCTATGCCACTAGAACATGGAAACTTTTCTTGTGATGGAAACTCGACGATGAAGTTAAGATCTTATAGCCTGTGAGGAATGGACAGTTAAATTTTGTTCAGAGCTCTGATTTGCTTGGCTTAGTTTTAATGTAACCAACTGCATTGTTCTAAAAAGCGATGTCCAGGCGTGCCTAGGTGGGGGTGCAAAGTGGGCACAAAACACCTTGCCTCACAATTTTTAAATTTTTTATTTTTTCGTGCCTAGGCACTTTTTTGAATGCTTTTTTACGCATTTTTTCCTTTAATTATTAAATAATTTTTAGATTGATTTAAAAATTTAAAATAATAATTAAAAAAAAGACTTTTTTACACCAAGGCCAAAGCTTGTTTTTACGTTTCGTCAAGCTTTATACTTTTTTAGAATACTACTATAAGGGCATGTTCGAGATTAAAATCAGATTAAAATTGAAAAACTAGTCGTTATTGTTGACTTTTATTAGACAAGTGAGACTTAATAACGACTATATTTTCAATTTTAATTGAATTTTAATCTTTACCAAACGAACAGTAAATGTAAAAGTCAAGCTTGACCCTGTTGAGCTTTAAAAAGATTATGCAAGAGACTCGAGGGCATTATTTTTGTTTCATGTTTAGATCTTTTATTCTCGATTGTCATTTGAATTTCATGCATGCTACTAATCTCTACCTTAGTCCGAGATTAATTCAGGTAAAAACAAGAGAAAATTCTTTGTCATTTATCTTTCTATAATGAAAAATCAGGGATTTTCAAAACAATTCCCTTCCCTGTATCTATTTTCACGAGTAGTGCTATTCATTGTCTAATGATTGCAGTAGTAATGATACTAGTCATTTTATGTGACATATCATTATTTAAAGTTATTCATTCATTAAATTATTAAAATTATGTCACATAAGATGTTACATATACATGTACTCTTTGATCATGAATAACATTATTTATTGATTTTCATGCCATAAAGATTCAACAATGTCATTCATAGTCAATTAATACAATAGTCATCCTTAGTGAAATCTTACATGGCATAATTTTAATAACTTAAAAAGGGAATTACTTTTAATAATGCTACATCACGTATGATGAATACTGTCGTCGTTAACTATGAATAACATTATTGATAAAGAATATGCCAAATCAAATACATAAATTTAAAAGAAAACGCAATCCCCAAATCATTAAACAATATCTCATTCAAGACGAATCCATAAAGATGTAATATCTTCTAAATCCAAAATCCAACATGTTTTGTTTACACAATTCTCAATTATGTTCATGTTCTTAGGTACCAATTAAATTTCAGATTTTAATCTAAATAAAAGTCAACAACTAGTTTTAATTACATATTTTATAGGTCCCACAAATTTTCAACTAAATATTTTATTAATTTTTATAAAAATCTAATTTTTGTTCCCACCTAACAGGGGCTATATTCTTACATGATTCAGAGAGTCACACGCGAGATAATTACGAGTCACACATGTGCAACAAATACAAAAACTGTAAACCACGACCCACGAAATTTCTGTGGCAGTATTGCAATTTTTAAAAAATGCAGGCCCATAAAAATACACTCATTTTTTCTAAATTCGCGCCTCTTTCCTTTATCCCGCCCTTCTCTTACCACCCCAACCCGCATATATAGTACCACAGATACATACACTTTTGGAGACACAGTAATTTATTCATACTATCAAATCCAGCAGTGTAGAAGATGTTCTACTCTCATACATTTTTGGCGAGGAAGGGCCCGCTGGGAACGGTGTGGTGTGCCGCTCATCTGCAGCACAAACTCAAAAAATCCCATTACATCTCCACCAACATCCTCTC